CCCACCCCCACCCCGGCAGCGGCTTTCCTGCAGTTGGCACAGGACTGCAGAGGACTGGGGAATGGTGAACGGGGGTGCCCTGGGGTGGGAGCCAGTTTGGGGGTCTCAAGAGCTGCTGAACCATGAGGCTCTTCCTTCAAATAAGACTAAAGACAGAAGCCCAACATGGAAAAGATGGCCAGTGCCTCCGCAGTGAGACCCCAGGAAATCACTGTTTGCATGAACCTTCCTCCCCAGGATGGATGGAAATGCACCCCCAGGATAATGACCCAGGGGCCAGAGCCCAGGCCTCCCAGTCCCAGCCCAAGGCTTTTCCAGCCAAATCAGCTTCATCAGTGCCCGAGGCATTGTGCCTGCACACAGATCCTCCAGGAGGATCTGCCAGTGGCCGGACTCAGGTGGCAATGGTCAGACTCAGGTGGCAGTGGGCAGGGCATGTGGCAAGGAAGCCAAGAGGCCCACAGGGAGGCTGCTGGGATACGAGCCCAGTGGGCAGGTCTTGGTCAGCAGGCTCTGAAATTTGTTCAATAGTCCCCAGGCCTCAGGGGACCAGATGATGGTCCCAGATGCAATGAGGGTGCAGGAGGCACACTTACATTGTCGTTCTGGAAGGAGTGGAGGAAGTTCCCTCCTAGCTCGCCATCGTCCCGAGGGGTGCCGGGAGGATTGCTAATGCCACTTATGTTGTTAGGAGAATTCTGCAGGGAGAGGAGAGGAGGTGAGCCCCAGGCCCCCACAACCTGCCAGCCACACTGGGAGAATATCCCAGGGGTGGGGCAGGGAGTGTCCAGGGAGGAGACATCAAACACACACTCACTTTTGGAAGTCCATCTATGTCACCTGACCCTGAAAAGAAAAAAAAAAAAAAAAAGAATCCTGTTCAGTTTCTTGCCCACTTTTCTGCAGAGAGGCCTCCAAACCCTTCCACCTGAATCCCACAGTTTCTGTGCAGAGAACTTCCCATCCTGGCAGTTCTTTCTCTGTCTCTTCCCGTGGGCCCGGCCAAGGCCAGGGCTATGGACAGGCCTAGCTGCGCCAGCAGCGGAGGCAGAGACAAGGCTGCGGGGCAGGGCCGGGCGGGGCAGCAGGCTCACCTAACGATCCGTTCATGTGGTGGGGCTCCATGCCGCCCATGCCGCCCATCGGGCCGTCCGAGCCTGGACCCATGGGGAACTGAGGAAGAAGCACAGGGCACGCGGCTGAGTGGCCCAGCTGCACCAGGGTCCCGACCTCAGGGNAAAGAGGTTGGTTGGGGTGAAATGGGGGGTGGGGGCTTGCTAGAAGCTTCCTTTTTAAAAAATTTCCCCCCAACCCTCCTCCCCCTGAAAACAAATAAAAAATCCCAACGGTAAAACCCCAAACAAAAAAACAACAAAAAAAGTGTCATGTACATAAAAGATCCTTTGGGAAAGGGCAAGGGGTGGGATTTTTCTGGTCATTGACTTGAAATATATTTTTATTTTTAGTTTTGTCCTTCATGTTTTATGGAATAAAAAGTTCGGCCTTTTTAT